CTTTCCGCCGCCGGGACCACCACCAGGCTATATGCAAGGTCCGCCGCCCACACAGGCTGCCAACTTCAACACGGGCTACGGCGCCTGGGGCGTAAATGGTAAGATACCCAAGTTAAATTATGTATACATAATGTGATACATAATATATATTTTGAATAGAATATGGACAACAAGTCTGGCTGCCGCAGCCGCTGGGCGCTGTTCCGACAGCAACACCTGAGCCACTGGCAACTCAGCAGATTGCACCACAGCAGCAGCAGCAACAGCCGCCCGCGGCAGTCATTATGGAGGAGCAACCAACTCCGGCGCTTGAGAGCGCAGGTTTGCCACCACAGGACGGTAAGTGTGGAAATGAACTTTGACTTTGCTACTTACTACAATTCACATGCAAACCTCTCACATTATATATTTTATTGTTGTCATGATTTACGCGCCCCCTAACAACAACAAAAAAACCAACTTGTAATTGAATTTGTTAATTGTAATTTGAAATATGCGCTTGCAAACGCACAAAAGTATTTAAGAAAATGCATTGTAAAAGACATTTAGAATCTAGCTATAATATCGCAGCGAGAGCTTAAACTGACACGGACTTTGGCTCTGACGACACTTGAAATATTCAATTCGATTTACGTAAGCAAAGCGCCACAATGTCTCGTTTTTTGTCGTGTTTTGTCTAAGACCCAACTTTCTCGTTTGGGGGGAGCGGCGGCACGGTCACACAGTGAGCAGTTACGACACGGCACGTCAGGGCACAAAACGAACGGTCAGCCCGTCAGAGCGTCAGCCTCAACATGCACAGCCAATACCAGATGGACAGCAGTACAAGCCGTCATTCCCGATATGCTACAAACCGATTCGATAACGTTCCGGCGAACGCATCCGTTGGTCTCATTTGCCAACAGTGTGTAACTAGCCGTGAAATGCACTCGAGACTGCATTTTGTAAATGAAATTTGAACTTTAAATCATCTAGCGAGAATGCGCATTAATTAATTTCTTTCTCTCACTCCCAAATACAAATCAATCATCAAACATGACAGCTGTGGCACAGGAGGCGGAAAATCAAAAGGAAGAGCTGAAAAAGCAACGCACCAACTACGTGAAGAAGGTTTCGCTGCTCAAAAAGGAAATGAAAGTGTTGAAAGACCAGCGAAACGATCTGACAGCTGGCGATGCACCACCATCGCCAACAACAAAGAATTTCATTGAGGAGAACGATCGTCTTCAGGCAAGTCAATGAATCAAATTTCAAAGATATAGCAATCCATGAAATTTACTTTCAAATAATACTTTCACATTTAATTTTCAGGTGCAAATCAAAAAGAAACTGGACACAATTGAGAACGTTATAGACATGTTGAATGGTATCATTGGCGACGAGGAGGCCGACGAGGATTCGGAAGTCACGCCCAAAAAGGAGTCAGAGCCCGCTATGGGTAAATTAGGTCAAACAGCAGCCGATGCTTCCACCACGACAAGCGATAGCTCTGATAGCTCAGATTCCAGCTCATCCTCAAGCAGCTCGTCAGACTCATCCTCCGAAGAGGAGGAGAAGAGCGACGAAGAGAATGGCACAGGTGACGGCAGTCCCACAAATCGTCTTAAGAATCACGCCATGAAAACAATGAAGGCTAAACAACGACAAGCGGCACCGCAGTCCAAATCGTCTGCACCGCAAGTGCAAAATTATAATTATGTATTCTTTGATCCCGAGCAACATTGGTGCGAAAGTTGTAATGTGTTCCCAAAAACGGCGCGCGACTATCTAAAGCATCTGCATGCCGAGGAGCACATGAACAGAGAGACTATGGAGACGCCCTGGCATGTGGGCATCGATCATGATCCGTATCCCACTTACGATAAGGCGCCCATCAAGCGTGTACCTGTGCGTGGACTACAATTTCTGGTCCCCGCTAGTGCCTGGTATTGCAAGTTGTGTAGCGCTTGGATTGGCGATTTACACTGCGCCTCGGTGCATCTGAAATCTCTTACGCACTCCAACAGATATGATGTAAGTGAATGTGAATATAGAAAAATACGCAAGCTATAATAACAATTTTATTATCTTGCTTTTCCATTGCAGTTGTTCTTGAAGAAGCAACCGAACTATGAAAGCGAGTTTCTAAGTAAACGCGAACGGGCCCAGCAGCAAAAGGAAAGCGAGGAGGCCAAGCTCAAGAAGGCCAAGAAGGAGGATGAGAAGAGCTCCTCGAAGAAGCGTAAAAAGAAGAGGTTTGTACAGTATTAAATATATATGTAATTATTATTAAAATTCAAAGTTTTCCTTCTTTTCATTACAGCAGCGAAAAGAAGAAAAAGAAGCGAAAGCACGGCAAGAAGCATAAGCGAAGTGCGAATGCAGGAAACAGCTCATCCGCATCATCGGATAGCTCTTCATCGGATGAAGCGGATGAGGCGCAGCAACCAAAGAAGGCACAGCCCACAGCAGAGGTCGCGCCATCAACCAATGCTTCATCAATACGTGTGGCTATGCGTAAACAGGATGCGACTGTGCCGGCTAAAGTGGAAGCGGTATCCCAGGAGGTGCCACCGCCACCGCCCTTTATAAAGGATGCTTTTAAAGATACAACAGAACGTGGAAAATGGACGAGCGCCAACAATGAATCGAAAGAGAAAGAGGAAGACCAAAAGAAGCGCGACGATGCGATGTTGCAACAATGGAACACGGTGCAGCCAGTCATAAGCGAGAGCGAGAAGAAGCTGCTCGAGCAGCTCAAGGGCAAGCTGAAAAGCAAATCCCGCCCGGCCGATGAGAATCGAAGTTCAAATGCTGCTAGCGATGAGAAATCGCGACGGACCGCTTCGAAGCGACGCAGTCCATCCCCACGAAGTGGAAGTCGTGGGCGCACAGAGCGTGATAGACGTGATCGTGAACGTGATCGTGAACGCGATCGTGGTCGCGATCGGGATCGGGAGCGCGATCGTGACCGGGATCGTGATCGAGAGCGAGACCGTGATCGCGACCGCCGGCGTTCTCGCAGCAGGTCGCGCAGTCGTGGCCGTAGGCGGATCTCCCGTTCTCCTGTGCGCGCCGGTCGACGCAGTCGCTCACGTGATGCTCGCTGGCGTCGCAACAGTCGCAGTCGCAGCCGCAGCCGTAGCCACTCGGAGGAGCGCGTCGAGCGGCCGGTGATCAAGCATCCAGAGTTTCGGCCGCGTCCACTGCCCGAACGCAAGCAGAACGATACTAAGCGTGATAAAAAAGAGCCAGCGGCTAAGCCAAAAGTAACCAAGAGCAATGCGAGCGCCACAGCTGCCGCTACGGGCAAGAAGTTGCCATTCATTGGTAAAATGCCCGTGCTGAAGAAGCAGCCAGCTGTTTCGACAACCGCTACAAATTACAACGATCCGAACGCCTACACCAATGGCAACATGGAGAATATACCAGTGGGGCCACCTCCGCCACCGCCTCCGACCGGAATGGGCATGGCGAACGCAGTACGTCAGATTGCGCCAACAGCGGCGCAGATTCAGATGGCAATGATGGAGGATGCCTATGGCAATGCGCCACCTTTTCATCCCGATGCCGGTATGATGATGGACTATGATGAGCTAATGCCGGATCCAGTGCAGTTTGCCAATTTAATGACACATTGCCCGCCACCTCCGCCGCCTGGCAACAGTGCTAATGCGGCCGGGACCGACTCCCTGGATGCAGATCAACTGGCTAACGATGAGAACGGTGAGGACGATGTGCTTCCACCGGGCATTGATGAGGCTGAAACCGATCTGGTACCGCAGCCGCTGGTAGCGACGACGCAAACTCGCGACGGCGAGTTGCCGAAGGACTTGGCCGAAGCTCTCGATATTATATTCCCTGCAGATAGATCAGCTGACGACGAATCCCATCAGAGCAACCAGACGCCAGCTGTCCCGCAAACCATAACCACCATCGTGGAGGATGAACCTGTGCTAGACGAGCACAACTTACAGGATTTGGCGAAGCGGGGCATACATCTGGTCTCCATCGAGGAGACCACATCCAACTCAATTCCAGGCTCAACACTTGACGACGCACTCCAGTCGAATGATTCATCCATGCAAATCAGCGCTGATGAGTCCTCACAGGGTGTCTACCAAAAAGCAAACGGCAATGCGGAGAGCACAATTAGTCCCAAACAAGTGGTGGCGCAAGATATACCCATGCCTGGCTCACTGCCAGCTGAACCCGCAGTCGAAGTCAAGGCCAAGGCCGAGGAATTGTTCAATGTGAGCGACATACCCCAGCCACCCGACTCGCCGACAGACAGTGAAAAAATGCGTCGCCAGTCGGAGCTGGACGAATTGGCTATGCTGGGAATCGACAGCAGTGACATGGCAGCTCAATGTATGTAGACTGCGCCTGCACACAAATCAAGTCACACACACACCTGCACTTGCACTTGCACGCCTGCTCCCTTGCCCACAAACACACACACACACACACACACACATACTCATGCATTTCATTCATCAATTGCCATTACTTGGCTTTTAATCTGCATTTGTGTATTTCTCTAGATGCGTTGTAAGCTCTGACTTGACCATTTGGCCAAGAAACTGGCTGCAGATGACGCCATCAGCAGCCGCTCCATATCTGGCTTAATCGCAACGCAACGGGGCAACAAGGGACAGCGCCCAGATCTAATTCATTTTATTAGTTTTACTTTATTCCTATGTATGCCTGTGTTTATCTGACGAAATGTTCTCAATAAATGCACATATATGTATGTAATATATGTATGATTAAACTAGAAATCACGACTATATGTATAAATAATGAATGGTATATGGGTAGGAGTATATGGAATGCTTACTTAAGGACATATACTAATGTTTTCAATTGATACCCACGATTTATACAGAAAATTGAACGAGTTTTCCATTAAGTTAATATGTTAAATATCTACTATATTTATGCGTCTTCTTTTTGCCACATTCTGCGCTTAATCTTAACTCTGCCCAACTAAGTTAAATCAACAATTAAACCATCATGCGTTTGTTGGTTAAATAAAGTGTAAATAAATATTTACATATATATTATTATTATATAAAATTAAAATATCTGCGAAAACAATGGAATCCTGGGTGCGGAATTTTTTCCTTGGTAATTAAATAAAACATGAATTTGTTGTTTATGTATCAAATGGCACCTAAATCTGTTTAATGTAAGTTATTAAAAAATAGTGATTAATACTACAACACTGCACAACAATATCGATGAACGTACGTATAAAGTGTTTGCATTCCTTTACAAAACAGTTACAATTGTCTCTAAATAGATTTTGATTTTTGTTCGCTTGTTATATTAGGTATATATGGACATATAAATATATAATTATATATATATGTAGGTACACGATTTTCGCTATTAGTTACATAGTTAATTTATGTCGGTATGTGTAGATACTCTGATTTAGTAACAATTTTTAAGTTTTGTGCGGCCTGAACTGTGGGATTGCTGTGTATACTGAGGATTTGGCCTTTAACATGATCATTTGGCTTATATAAATAGATGTGTATATATATGTGGGTGTGTGTGTATTAAACACGTTGTCCACTCTTTTGATTTATGCATAGGTTAGAGAGTTATAAATAATTTTGAAACGAAATGTGTGCAGTCGCCGCTGTTGAGTCCGAGGCTTTGGTGCCTGCTATAAATGGGTAACACGCAAACCAGTCGGTGTCATCGGATGCTTGGTGCCGGGCGTGCTTGGATCGCCGCAGCCGGTTAGCTAGAACTATAAGTCCGTAATGGGTCCGCCGGCGAGGCTGAGTCTGTTGGCCGTGGCGGCGGCGGTGCCGGCGGCTGCATTGGGTGCAGTCACATTTGGATTCCAATTTGGTTGGCTCGCCACCTGGGCGCTTAGGTCTTTAACCAATTTTTCGAGTCTAAAGACAGTCGATCGAAACAGCAGTTTGGATTTGTTTGGTAGTTGCAGAAAGAGAAGAGCAGAAATGCAAAAAATACTGTGAGTGATTTTTGCTGTGTTTAGTCACCGAATACGCCTTAAACCTGATATGGAATGGGTTACTCATTAGGGGATGTGCATGCATGCGAAATGAAAGGTGAAATGGTGCAATGGAAATGTCGAATGTTGTTACAGTTACAGCTTAGAGACATGTGAAACAGTAAAGTAAACCATATAGAGCATAGACTACACCCACGCTATGATACGCTGATTGGCCTCCTTACGTGCGCTGGTCGCTTCACTGAGCTCGCGCTTCAGCTGCGCATGCTCCTTCTTGCGGGGCAGCAGCGGCGGCGGCGTTGGTGTCGACGGGACCTGCTCCCCCAACAATGCGAATTTGGGCGGACTTTGCACAGGTTGTGTTTGCGGCGACTGTTTGATGGGCGTGGCCAGGCCATTGCTGCGAGATTCATTGCTGGAACTGGACAGGCGCTTGCTGCTGGCCAGCTCCTCATTATCCTCATCCTGCAGCTGCTCCTCTTCATCGTCCTCGTCCAGCAGCTGGGTGGGCGGCGCCGGTGCCTGATGCACGGTGCCATAGTGCAGATTCAAGGAATGTGCTCGTCGAGCGCCCCCATTGGGAAAGCCAAACGGCGTTTTGGTGCGCGCACCTCGAGCGCGTTCGTTCTCGTATATAATGTCGTGATATGCCTGCCGCTGATTGAATAAACTGGCCAATGCCTGGCGGAGATATTTGTTCTCCGCCTCCAGATGCGACACGCGTTTGTTCGTCTCCTTGCGCTCCACTCGCAGCTGCATTACCTGCGCCTGCAAATCAATCAAATTAGCTACTCTGTTTCATTTGACGGCAGCTGGACTCACCTTCAGCTCATCTATATCACGCAGTATGCGCACATTGCCCTCGCTCATGGACCACTGGCGCTCCTCCACCAAGGACTTGACGCTGTGGGATAACGTGCATTATTGGCAATGGCAGAGATCGATGGAGCTGGAGACTTACCGATTGAGCAACGCATCCTCACGCACACGCGCCGCCTCTTTGACCTCGCGCACCACATCCGTCATCATGCCGGGCGTGTAGGCACCTAAAAGAGAGTCAAATATATGGATTAGTTGCGGGCAGCTAGAGCAGGTTCCACAATGTATATATAGGTGTTTGCATATATATATATATATACCTGAATGAAAAGTGGGCGCTGGACTATGCGTGCCACCGAATCCGCCGCCAAATACCAATGGTTGACTTTGTGTGCTTAATCCACTCAAGCTATCTCTACGGTGCCGCATGCCCCCGCCGCCAGCCCACGGCTGGCCATTGGGAGCGTGCTTCAAAGCTTCGATATCAACTGTGTGTGTGTGTATACATATTTACGTAGTGTGCAGTGTGTGTGTATGTGTGTGTGTGGAGAAAATAGTAGGCGAAAATAGGTAAAAGAAAATACGCAACAAATACGCACAAAGTAAACACATACGAAATACATAATACATAATCGAGAGCAGCGTGTAAATACAGAAAGTTTTTACAAATTTTCAAAAATTACAATATCAACAACAACGAGAGGAATAGCAATAGAGAGCCAAAGGATTTTACATATATGAGAAAGAGAATATATCGAGTAAATAGTATAAAGTACTTTACGAATTTACAGACTGTCTTGCCATACAATTATGTACAATAAAAGGCTACACAAAGGTGTTCGATAGTCGAGCGTGTACGACTAGTACATACCCAGTACTTAGCAGCAAAGATTAAGAATACTACATATATAACAAAATATAGATCTTACGATATATCCAATTAAGAATAATCTATGCTTTACATATATAGATTTATAGTCATGGAGATCACAGACAAACGGGCGGACATTGCTAAGATCAGCTAGATTGTCGATATTCTATATACACAGAACAGAGTATGCAAAGGAATATAAACTCCTTTTCTAGTACAACTTTCCATTGCATTTGTTCTAAGTTTTGCTCAATTACTTTTAAGTACAGGGTATGACAAATAATTTCCTGAGCGCACCTTTCGTTTCGTGCAAATTGCGACAAATTTTGGAATTCGTTTCGTGCAATATGTTAATCTGTTCCATTAGCGCGGCAAAGAATTTATTCTGCTGATCGACGTCGCTGCCGTTGCCATTGGTCGAGACTGGGGCGCCGTTGCCGTTGCCGTTGCCATTGCGACAGTCGGGCGTATTCTGGCCACTCAGCTTGGAGTCATTGTCCGAGGGATTCAGCAGGCAGGGATCACTAAAGCGAAAGCTGCAATAGACGTAGTTTTAGTTGTAGTCAAACGGGATTTATTGAATGGTTTTACCCGCGACTTATGTTCGGATTGCTGCCGCTGCCATCTATAACGTCCGTGGAGTTCTGGTCATGCTCTGGACTGGCGCCAAAGCCGCCAAGCATATTGACCAGCGGCGGCAAACTGGCAAACTCCTGGGCCCCATCACCGGCCAGCGGCAGGCCAAAGTTTAGGCCGTAGCCGTTGGACTGGGGCGGAAAGAGCATGGGGTAACGGTAACTCAACGACTGTGGGTGCTACAAGCAATATGAGAAATTGTTAACTATTTTGGGTCATCAACTGTCGCAGGCCTTAATGGCCAATACTCACGCGCTGTATGCCCATGCTAAAGGGCGTGGCACCGCCCATGCCAAACGGTTGCGAGTGTGAACGCATGAAAAATTGTTGCTGCTGCTGTTGTTGTTGTTGCTGCTGCTGCTGTTGTTGTTGCTGCTGCTGCTGCTGCTGTTGTTGTTGTTGTTGCGTCACTGTTGCTGCTGCTGCTGCCAACGTCTTATTGGTCGCTGCTGTTGGATTAAAGTCCAGAAATTCCGATGATGATGACAATTGTGCATTCGTCGCATCCCGCAGGCAATTCTCCAGCCACGCATCTAGATGATCCTTGGCATATTGCTCACGTGCACTGCCATTGCTGCTGCTGCTTTTGTTCTTGCTGTTCGTTGTTGTCGCGGTTGTTGTGCCCGTTGCTGCTGCCGCCGCTGCTGCTGCTGCTGCTGCTGCTGCCGTTGTTGTTGTTGTGGCGCTGCGTGATTTCAGTTTCTTGCGCTTGGTCGCATCCACAGCTAAAACGAACAAATCAAATCAATCGATTAGATACGCCATATTGATTGGATGACTTAATTAAACTGGGTCAATCCGTTTTCTTCTAACTTGGCTCTTAATTACGGCCAACAATTATCAATCACGGCCTGCATTCGCGCATTGCGAATACACGAATGACTCAGACGTTGCCCCATTGGCAGCTAGCCAGACTTAAAAGCTCTCTGAACACCGTTTCGGCTTATTTCAGCCCACAAAAATGTCGCTTTGTGCATTCTCAAAACAAGTTTCTCTCGCATTATATTTGATTTTTGGTCTTCATATACCCTGTAACCGATGAAATTGTTGTTAAGGTATATGTAGGTTGAAGTTTTTAAATTTTTTGCATAATTAAATTAAAGTATATATTTAAAAAAAGCCATATTTCTCTCTTAAATATGTATAGTATATATGTATATATATAGTAGTTAAAATCATTTTTAAAAGTTTTTATGAGTGTGGGTATCTTAAAGTGAGCTCTTTGACTTCTCATTATAATAATACTCATAACTTTAACTCTGTTATACTTATTTCAAATGGAAGCATAGCAGATTTCTAGAGACTTTTCAGTTTACCATAAATACAGGCCGTGCTGTATGGGTAGGTATACCCTAGTCGGGCTTTCCCGGTCAGAGTTTTTCTAGCTTGTTTTGATTTCAGTTAGCTAAACACGTATTGAAATTCGTCTAATATTTCGCTGGGACTTTGTCAACGTTACAGTTTCACTGGCAAACCGGTAATTGAGCATGCCGAGAGATGTGGGCGTAACGAGGAGCGCGGCGATCGAAGATTGGAGATCGGAGAGCAGCTGCCTCCAATTGCAATCGAATGCATAATTGAATAGCCAAGAGTCGAGTCGCGCTTGCCATAGGAAGTCATATGCTGCGCATTCCAGCGATTGCGATGTGTTTCCCCTAGGGGTTCGTACAGCCCGTTTAAATTTAGCAAAAGACTCGCTTTTGTTATATTTGTTGCGGTTGTGCCTACTGTTGTCGTTGTTGCTGTTGTTGTTGCGATCATGATGAGGGGCGTGCTCGCTTTTGGCGCAGGGTGGCCATGAGGGTGCTATAAATAGCATGCGAGCGAGTTATATTAAAGCGGATGTGACTAAAAACAAGGAGCAGCCAGGAATTAAGACGCACACATGTCCATAACGACACACACACACACACATACAGACATTCATAAATGGTGGTTGCTGAGCTAATGATATATACTTTGAAAACGATACGAAGAGACATGCCAGACGACTTATGTATATAACTATATAGGAGTATATACATAGGTCTCCATTTCAAGCGAACCCTCAAGCCTCAAAGTATATTCTGATGAATGCAGAGCTCAGGCTATTTATAATTGCACAAGAGTCCTCTTATATCAATATTTAATCTAGTTTCCTTCTTTTTGTTTAAGTATGCGAAAGAGTTCTTATACTATAATCTCACTCAATTCTTGGACTGAGAATGATCTGTTTTCTGAGAAATAATATGTATATATAATATAGAGATCACTCTCCCCCCTCTCTTTGCCATAAATTTGTATAGATCGGGAACCACGGAATGAGAGGAGCAGTACTGGATCAGTGGTCGGCGATGAAAATATAGGTAGGAAAATATAAATAGGTGTACATATTCCACATCAGCACTATCTATCTAGTGTATCTAGCCTTGTAACCCTTAGAAAACATATAGTAACAACAAAGTCTAACTAAATTGACGCCTAACTAACTAGCTAATTACAGAAACTACAGATACTTCAATCTTCAAATCTTTGCTAAAGACTCAATTCAATTCTCACTTTAAATCGATTCTCAGCACAAATTTTCCACATCAATTTAATCAAGCCGCGTTTGACTTCGACTCTGTCGCGCAAATCTATTGCATCATACTAAACTACAGTTAACATCTCTATTGTGTGTAATCACTATGCATATACGAGAATTAACGTTATTTTTCCCCAGCCAATTCTATTTATCATACTGTGAATAGATCTCATTTTAAGCTTCCGCCAGTGAATATCATCATTAGCTATCGCTGCTGGTTACAGTAAAGCTCACCACATGCACCCACCGCACCCACCGCACCGCCCATTTACCAGCCCATCTGCTCTACAGCTGTAAGTCTTAATTAGCAACCATTTAGTGCATTGTTCCAAATCTATTCGCATCGCTTACCCAATTTCAATGTCAGATCGCGTGTATAGATTTCATAATAGGCCCATCGAAATTAAATCAATCACTGACCGTGAACTCAGATATACACACATGAACAGACACACACACACACGCATATATATACGCACACACGTCACCTGGTACGCTATGGAACGAATATGATGCATGTCTTTCTAATTGCAACGAAAAGCAGATGCCTCCAGATGCCTTTGAGTTCGCTAATCACACAAATTATCATTGGGCTGTAGGGAACTTTCGTATGTTTCAACTTTTGGAGTTACAAAAACCAAACCAAATGTTAAGTGTTGCACAACAGATTTGCAGTCATTAAACAAATGCCTCGAGATAATTACAGTGCGTTAGGCAGCACAGCTGCTTCAGCAAATTGAAAAGGAAATAACAATAAAAGCCGTAAGAAAACCTATAGAGAGAGAGTGAATGAAAATCAAGAAATATGCATCTGTATATGCAAATCCAGCTGCTGTAGAGGACAGCAGAGGGCAGCTAGGCGTGTCATGGGAAAACTTTCTTAAGCCAACTCCAGCTGAGCTATGTGTGAATCGTCGTGCAGATATAAGAAAAGCTCAGGTCTGTAGAAACTTAAGCAAATTAGTGAAACAATAAATAAAAAGGGCAATAAACAAAGACTTTATGTAATAAAGAAATCATGGGCGAATGGGGAGTGTCTGGCAGATTCAGAGATAAAACACATTAGATAAATTGTTTCACTGGCAGATTTCGATATGAAATAGAGTACAAGGTTAAGATAGAAAAGATTTGTTAGAAACTAGTAAAAAAAAAAAAATAAATAAATAAAAAAAAGTGTATTAAGATTAACTCAAAAAATAAAATTTATATTTAAACTAAATTTATAAATCTTAAATAATTGATTTCTTTAAGATATATGAAAAGCTTCAAGACAAGCATTTCAGTTCACTGGATAATACATTTCAATATAATGTCAATGGATATCATATGAGCGAGTCTTATATAGCCTGTAGTTAAACAGATAAGGCGCATTTTGGTTTATCTTAAGAAAACTATAAAATATTATTATACATGTGAATCTCAAGTAGAGGTTTGGCGGACTGAATAATTTCAAGTTTGGGCTACCCGACTAAAATATACCTCGGACTCTTCTTACAGTTAAAAGATATCTAAAGCCGACAAGAAAATACCCAAAATTCTTCTTACAAATATTATGAATAGCTAAATATATTTATCGAATTCCAAATCCCTAATATTCTATATAGAATAAAGTCTAGAATAAATACATACATATAGATGAGGTCTATCTGGCCTTCTTTTGCGTGTTGCATGCAGTAGCACAAGAATAATCTAGCCTCAATTCCCATTAAAGATCAATGAGTGTATATATAAATAGGTAAACAAAATATCACTTGAAATGTAGTTCGTATGGCCGGAACGGAAAGAGTATAAAATTTCATTTGACGAACTCTCAACACAATTCTAAGGACTTCTAATTTAAGAACTTATTAATGAGCTATTGCCCGGGAATGTAATAAAGAACACGCTCTATTTATAAAGAGCTCCGCTTACAGACAGCCAAGCAGGCGGGCAGCCAGTCAACTTCAATTAATATATACATCCTATATAGAGGCATATTTATATATATAACTATATATATTTCCATCTATACCCATTGACAAATTAGCTGCACGGCTCACGCCTCACACATGTTTGTGAAAACAAATTGCTATTGGTGTTTTTTTGTGACTTAATCAGAGATGGGTCTGTGGCGTTACATTCATCTAGTTTGTCTGTCTCTTCTTTTTTGGCTAACATCGCGTGTCTGCTTGCAACAAACGTGTGGCAGAAAATTAACAGCATTTAGCTGCAGACTTTTGTTTCGACTGGTTTTTGCTTCTTTCTATTTTAGCTGGGCGCTCAAGCGCAGCCAAGTGCTCACCTCTTTGTGTGCTGGCCACGCCCACGCCGCCCGAACTCTTGGACACGGGCTGGGCTTTGGCCAGAGCTGGACTCGAGTTCGAGTTCATGTTCGAGTTAGAGTTGGCTGCAGTTGGCATTGTGGTCACCGCGCTGCCACCATCCAAGCTCCCGCTCCCATTGCCATTCGTGTTGATCTCCTCCACCTGCGTTGTGGTTGTCATTTCAATGCAGTATGCAAAGCGAGTCACTCGCCTGCGAAATAGAAGAAGAGAGAAAAGAATAGTTAGAGAACTTGAGCTGAGAAATACTTTTTATTGTTATTTAACAAAGGTTCCACACTCTCTGTCTGCATTCGGTTTCGTCTCTTTGTAGCAAGGCAGGGCAGAGCCGCGTCGCTTCGCAACATGTTGACATTCGACCATGAAAAGCTTGCCAAATAGAAGGGAAACTTGTAGGAGCAGATGTGCACATGACGAACTACCAAATACCCTATAAGTTGTAGCAAAAAACTTAAGTATTCACCAAAAATGAATATTTTTTTAGGCATGAACAATTTGGTATATTTTTCGTTTTTTCCTAAAATTACAGAACATTGAAATAATAGAAAAGTATATCAAAAAATTGTATATTATCTATCCATACTCCCTCTCTCTCAGTCCCTCTATTTTTATATGTAACTATATCGATCTGATTTGCTGATAAAATATTCCCTTAAATTTATTTATTTGTGCATGTTTTTTGCTGTCTTTAACTTAAAATCAATGATACATTATCTACCGATTCTCCATTCTCCTCCATCCATCCATCCATCCATCTCTCTCTCTCTCTCTCTCTCTCTCTCTCTCTCTCTCTCTCTCTCTCTCTCTCTCTCTCTCTCTCTCTCTCTCTCTCTCTCTCTCTCTCTCTCTCTCTCTCTCTCTCTCTCTCTCTCTCTCTCTCTCTCTCTCAAATTTATCTTTCGCACACTTTGCATACCTATTAATTAATTTGCCTACTCTAACTTACTATAAATCGTTCTACACACTCATATTGAGCTATTCAACAAAACTCCCTTGCAAACTGCACAGCTATAGGGTATACCGGAGTCTGACAAACTAAGTAAACACACACAGACACTTTGTTCAAGTCGAGGGCAAGGAATGAACATAAAGACTTAGATCAAACAGCAAAACTGACAGAAAGAAAATGTCAGTTATCCGACGTATGCCAATGCCGGAAAACACCTGTCTATATTCTCAATTTTCTATTATTCTATGGCTTGAAACGTGTTTATGTTTATTGTTGTTCTTGTTGTTGTCGTGTTGCTGGCCAAACATTTTATTGATGAAAAGTAAACAACGGCATTTTATCGAAATGCAAACCGTGAAGAGCACGAGTGTAAACAATTGCATATGTATATGTATGTATGTATACATATTTGAGTCAAGTTGCCAGGAGACAGATAGCCGACAAATAGGCATATATGTAGGGTGAGTCGGGGTGCTAAGTGGTCGGAGGCGGGGGCGGGGCTAAGGGCAACAGCACTTCACAGGCAGCGCATTTTGTGGGCTTCTCTGCAGAATAAAAAGCTCTTTTTTTAGCGGTTTTCAGCTGGCAAATTTGTTGGCAACGATATCAAGATAACATATATCTAGATCATGTGGGGCCTTGCACAACTTCTAATCTACTTAGTTGTTTGGCTTGCAAATTAAAGTTAGCTTGCCTCTAAGCAAAACTTTCCACAATTTAATTTACTTAATATTAATTTTTAAACACAATTTGGTTTATGGCCTGAAATACAAACACCTTAAGGTTGACCACCAAAGCTGTTTATATGCAATTACTTGGGTCATTATTTAGTTTTTTAGTGTGGAAATTTTTTTTTATTTTTAAAAGCTTTTAAAACTTAAGTTTAATAAAACATATTTTCATAATTATATATTTAAATTTACATTATTTTCATTTCATAAATTTTATTTTAAAATTAATTAAAGAAAGCTAATTTACATTTCATTTATTGAATATTTTAAAAATATTATGGTCAGCTGCATAGTTAAGATCAGATGATGAATATATATTTAAATACCTATAACATGTTTCTAATGCATTTCAAATTAATGATGGCTGAAATGTTTCGCAGCTTCTTCAGCACCTTTGCTAACGATCTTGATAACGCTTAGTTTGTTGTTAACTGTCAAACTAGTGTAGATAGAGTTTCTTTACAGGCACACACACACAAATACATAAATGTGTATGTAAATGTGACTGCATCATTAGTCTAATGGGTTTAAGTGCATAATTTTTTTTTTTTTTAGTGTGTGTCTTAATGTCTGAGAAAGTTGTTGGCCAGAAACATTTGCATGCCATTAACAACTTGAATGCTTGACTTGTTTTAATGTAGTGTCTACTGCTTCTTCTTCTTTCTCTTCTTGTGCTTCTTCTTCTTCTGCGTCTGCTTCACTCATTTATGACAGCATAATTGCTAGGCCGTTAGCTGTAAGAAAATTTACATGTGCATTGCCAGTTGGGCTCGGTTCGGTTTGGTTTGGTTCTGTAACAGAATTAACAGAGCGCCGCTATGCTTTACCGCTTCGCTAGCTGCAATTATGCGGCCACAGAGTGCAAGATACAAATGTATCTGCTGGATACAAGTGTCTATCTTTAGAGTGCCAAAAAAAAAAAAGCGAGTCTGTTCGCAACTTGATCACAACGCCAAAGTAGGCGCAACGAATGCCAAGCGACGCTTTGCATTTGCCACGCTCGTTACACAGATAACGATGCCCAGATACAAAGATACTTAGATACTCAGATACAAAGCCGCCTTTTGTGGCTGGCTGTATGTGTGGGTCTGCCAATGCCAAAATCTATGCAAGGCGAAAACAAATTAAAAACTAACAAGAAAGCAAAAAAAAAAAAAAAAAAGAAGAGAAAGAGAGCGAGAGCGAGTGGAGAGGAAAGTAGTAAGGGGGAGCAAGTCGTGAGACGACACGTTTGCCCGTTAAGTACAAGTATCTATAAGATACATACATTTATATTGTCTGCATCTGTGGCTGTGGCTGTATCTGTATCTATACAAGCGCTAACGAGCGAAAAAGTTGACTTTGCCGCGAATGGGCTTGTTATTGTTGCCATTTTTTATTAACGTACCGGCAAAAGGCCTTGCCACTTCACTAGTCAACTTCAAGTTGAAAGTGAATTAAGTTTTTTCTTTTCTTTGCCGCTGAGCTCAGCGAAAGGAGCAACAACCACAACAGCAACAACAACAATAATAATGACAACAACATCATTAAAGCCAACAACAACGTTGGGAACTGATGATTAATTAAATTAGCGATAACAAAAAAATTTTAAATACATTTTGATAAGTGGCTGGCACTAAACAACAAGTAGGGCTAAAAGTGGACTATAGCAGTGAATATATTGCATACGACTTAATACATTGCATCTATGATAATTTTGTTCAATAACAGAAAGCTATATATATTAACATTTCCTGTTAACTACAGTTGTTGGCATTCCCGGTAATGTTATTAACATTTTCTGTTCAATTAAAAAAAAACACTAGCTGCGAAAATGTTATTTAACATTGCCATCTTTTAAACTTAATTTAAATATGGCAGCGTTAAATAACATTTTCGTGGAAGATTAACATATTGTAGTATTTGATATTTAATTTCGGGTTCTGTTATCTTGGCACTTAATAAACCGTATTCGCAAATGTTAATTAACAAAAATAATATTATATTATTAATTTATTATTCTATTCCACATATTGATTTTAACTAGTTTATGGGTATATGCGAGTCGACTTCTCGCTTCGCTTCTACTTTAATCTAATCTCGCCTGCGCACTGAATAGGCTAATAAATTAAGGCAGCAAAAGACGGACAGCAGCAGACAGACAGAGTAGAGGTGTTATGACTCCTCCAACCAAATTAACACCAATGACAACAAAAAGCGCCTTCAAGCTTGACGTTTGTTTAGTTCTGGTTTGTTTTTGTTTTGCTTTTGAGTTGGCCCTGATTAGTTGGCCGCAAGGTGAGAGCCGCACCAAACCGAACCGAAGCAGCACCAACAACAATAAGAGCAACAACAGCAAAAACCAAAAGCACATTCATTACTGGCAAATATCTATTTTGGCGTTTCTTTCTATTTTCGCTCAAGTTCTAGGCTATTGACACGGAGCCAAAAGAAAAGCGCATGTCGCCAAAGAAAAACAGATGAAGATGAATATCATGGGTGAGAAAAAAAATAAAAAACGAAATGCCACAGTGAATGATAATGAAGTTTGGTTTCAATGGTCATATTGTGTGTGGTGCTATTTACTGAGCAATTGGAATCTACCAACGGCACAATACTCTGTTAAAGAGTGCTAAATGACTGTAAAACTGTGATGCTGTATGCTGTATGCTTATGACTGTAGAGAGGGCTACAGTTATCGGTAGATACACATTTAGATTAGGGTATATATTTTAAATATTTACAAGTTTAACTTATAAACATTAACATTAGCATTAACATAGGCTACTACCGATCACTTTGTAAACTGGATATATACAACCGGTTATATTATCTAATGGTTCAGGGACGAAGCGTATATGTGTATTTTTGTGATTGACCTTTCCCATACAACCATTTTTAATGACACCAATAAAAGCAAAGCAACGTAAAGTGAAAAAGGCGACTGCGACGCTGATCAAATCACCGGACGCGATCAATGGCTAAATAGAAGAGAAGAGAGAGAGACAAACACTAGCGCAAACGCAAACACAAACAAAGACGAAGTTGGAGTCATTTGGTTTGTTGACCCAAGCGCAGAGCATTCAATAAATTGAAGAAAATGAATGAAAGGAGAAACAGAGACAGACACTAACGGAGACGGCAAAACGTAAGAGCAGCGATGACCAAGCACAAGCGCCCAAGGAGCAGTTACACACAAATGCACACTCACACAGGCAAATAGACTCATACATGAGACACACTTTGCTCTGGCAGAGACAACTATCGAGTTGCTTGCACGAATGTGCCCCCCTCTCTCCCTTCTCTATTCCATACAACAGCAGACGACAAACACAAAATGAAAAGCGAAATGCGTTCAAATGACGTCGCTGCTGGCGTAGGCGTAGCGATTCTGCCGCATCGCTGCCGCTGCCACTGTCGCTGCTACTGCTACTGTCAGCTGAAGCAGCTGCTGCTGTTGCGCCTGCATGAGTTTGAATTGGAAATGCTTTTGTTTTTATGCTGGCACTTGGCTCACATACCAAACGAATTTCTCAAGGTTTCGACACACACACACGCACATAGAGAGACACTCACATTAAAAATATTACTAATTATTAAAGTTACCTACGCGTTGCAATCGCAGGTGAATTGAAATGCAGTTGTACCTTCGCCTGTGCCGCTTCAAATATTTTATAGGCACTGCTTAATTATTTAATGCTAATTCGCCAGCCTTAATAGCAATTTAAAAAAACACACACACGCACACACATCTGCTAGCTGCTTTTGCTTTTTGCCATTTTCGTTTTGCACACGCACAAACACATAGACGCTGCGTCAACTTAAAATTCTACACGATTTTTATTATTGAATCTATTTAATGGCTTTTGCGGTAGTTATAGCTTCGACCGATTTTCAGTAGTTTTATTCGCAATTAGTCAACACAAACACCCGCAATGCGTACCCAATAGCTCCGCGCAGCGACTCAGATACAACACGTCCGCTCTTGACAAGTGTTGCTCCACAACAAACGCGAGACGCCAAAATGAAACAGAAACTGAACGACACAACGAAACAGCAGCAATAACTTGACGATACTTCAGCAAGTGAAACCAGTGTTGAACAGCGCGCAGTACAGTTGCGCGGTTCCGTTTAAATTTAAAAATTGATGGTAACAGTTTTTACGCGATTTATTAAAAGGCTTAATAGAAAATTTAATTGAATATATTTGAAACTTTAGTTTTCAATGAAAGCTTATAAAATAATTATCTTCCCCATCAAGCTGCTATGAATACAACATTCAAATTTTATTTTCAACATTTTTGAAATGAAACAAGTGTCTTTAAATTTTGTCTTCAAATACGTACATATATATTATATATTTATATTTGCATTGTAAATGCAAATTGTAGACAATATCAATTTACAATTGCACGTGTACTTGTGTGCTTAAAATAAATAAACACATTTATAAACATATACATATCATATAAAAAAAAAAACATTTACAGCTAATTATTACGAATACCTTTTGGAGTTCAACATTAAAATACATACATACGTTCATACATATAGCAACATTAGCGATCAACAAATTAACTATTATTGTATATGTATAGGAAGACGCCGGCGCACGTGCAAATGCACGCACGAAGGGTTTTTTTTTCAACAAACATTGCACATACACAAAAGCGTGCTTTACCTTAAGCAATATCTTTCAATACTATTACTAAACTTAAATACAAACAGCATTCATGAATTAAACTACTCCGCAAGCGACGCGCTCATCGACTTCTCCTGCTCGCGATGCTCCCGCTTGAAGCTCCACTCAACAATAACAAATGACACCGTGCCAATGGTGCCAGTGATGACCAAAATGGCCAGCTGGATGTAGAGGCCGAAGTGCGAGGAATAGAAGAAGCTGATGGCCGCCGCCACGGACTGTGTGAACTTGAAGAGGGCGAATGCGCCAACCGGATTGTTGACGAACTCGCCGCCCAGCATGGAATAGACCTGCGTATTGAAGCAGGCATCGCCAAGACCCAGTAAAAAGGCGCATACCAATGCCATCGAGGCACTAGGTGGGTCCAAATACGATATATCGGTGGTATCTGTAAACGGTGCGCTATTCGGTAAATTGAGGAATGTCATCAAATAGGCAGCCATGTGCATCACATAGCCGGCAATCACAATGGGATCGCGACCGAAGCGAGTCGTCTTCGACGCCAGAATGCCAAAGAAGCCGCCGCCAAAGACTTCGCCGACGCCAATGCAGATGCCCACCAGGCCGACAATTTCCTTGGGCGTCGAAGCTATTTTCGAGGTGAAGCCAATGGACGAACCAAAAACGCCGCTGAAGAACGAAAGCTCCAGACCTAAAGGCAACCAGAAATCAGTTTCGAATGAAACTTATATTATAATAGACCATCGTCCTCATCCTCACCTGTGTAGAAGAACGCCAAGCTGAGCAGCAGCATTTTCTTGGTGCAGAACAGTTTGCCGGCCAGCTTCAGAGCATAGAGTGCCTGGTCGCAGCCCGTGTGCTGCTCCTCCAGCTCATTGTCCTGCTCCGCGTTGCTGGCCATGAAGCGCAAGGCGGCCAAAAACACAATGCCCAAAATGGCGACAATGGTCAGCACGCCAATAACCAGATTGCGCGTCTCCTTGTCGATGTGCGTCTTGTCTTGGAACTGGTAGTAAACGAACAGATTGCCAAAGAACATGCTGCACTGCAGCAGAGCCCAGAAGATGCCCGAATTGCGTGAAATTGTCTCCGAGCTGCTGCAGCGCGCCAAATAGGTGCCCTGACCCGTCCAGGTGATCGAGGCGCCCAGACCCAGCACAGCGCTCGCCACATACAGCAGCACAGTCGATGGGAACAGAAAGGTGATCATGAAGAGCCTGCAGCAATAGAATAATAGGTCAATACACCGTTGGAATTGAATCATCTGAAACTTACGTGTAGGTGGATGCACCCACAACCATCGCCACGCGAGGTCCTGTAAACGAGATGAAGGACGGCGCCAGCCAATTGGAGAGCGAAAAGAATAGATAGAGTATGGCCAGGCTGGTGTAGCCGTCGCCCTTGAAGCTGTCATCCTCCTGCGCTATGCTGTCCAATATTGTTTTCTGTGGAGTAAATGAGTTTTGAGAACATGTTTTATCAAATGTGATGGACTAGAAGATACGCCAAGCCTTATTTATGACTTAGCTCAAGTTATTTATAAATAAATGTTTTGCTCAATTTCCAATTCAAATGATCTGCTCAAGATCTTAATTAAATTGCATTCCATGCACACAAAACTAATCCACCCCATTCAGAGTCGACAACTGCAGGGTACATAGAATATAAAAAGCTTAAATGTGAAGCACGTGTCGTCAATTCAAGGTTAAACTAGGTCGAATCATTTCCTATGCGGATGCGGTAGTGGGCGTTGCTTCCACTTTTGGCAGTAAATTTTGTCTACAGTCTGTCAATACTATAAATAGGTTTAAGTGCATATTACATTCGAATATATGTGTATATTTAAACACAAACTTATATATAGAAATAAAATTTTAAGTATATGCTAAAAGTCAAGCTCAAACTGGTTTGTCGCCGCCAAATTCAAGTGCAATGACAGCTGCAACAGAAATATTCTTGCATCGCTGGCGACTGTCGACTGGCGGCTGGTGGCGGACTTGCTGCCATATTTTGCATTAATTAATTTGCGATTATGGAAAATTTCGTGTGCCACAGACGCAGACACCGACGCAGAGCAAACGTGTTTTTTGTACAAAAAATTTTCCACGCATAAATTGAAGGACTTTGTGTGAGCCCAAAACGACAACGAATTGATATCGCTATCGACTACTTGACTCTGACACCAATTTGCAATTTACTTTTAAAATGCTTCTATATATCTGTGCTCATTTTAAGAACTATTTTAATATATCGATCTATAAATCCCATTCATGTGCACAAAGGCAAAAAGTCAATTACTGCGGAAGAAAGTGAAAGTAAAAAATAATAATATAATAAACGATATAAATATATATAAATGTTTGCATTCCTCAAATAATATGAAATACTAATGATTTCTAAAAAGCTTTCTTCTCTTTTACACCTCTTATATATCATTAAAGGGTCTTAAAAACTTTATATCAAATCTGAAAATATGCTAATAATTATTCCAATAGCTTTTATTGATTACAAAAACAAGAAACAATCTTATCTTTGGCGCGATATATAGAAAGTATTTCATTATCAAAAAAATCTTCGAATCGCAAGTGGCCCAGTTGTAAATCATTGTTAACGGAGCAAGAACAAACCAGGGCTGCAAGATAACATATGTAAGTTATGAGTTCAGCTAATGACTACAATTCGGTTCACTTGAACCAATTGCTGATTCCAGTTTATTCAAACTTTAGTTCAGTTCACCCTATTGAACCAGTTCCATTTTTCAGCCTTGCCATAAACTTTAATCACAAATTCCTTAGGCCAAATCTTCAATAATCACAATAACAACAATAGGCTGATAACACAGCTCTCTATATTCTGTTTTAATCAGTTGAATAACGTCTATTGGACACATGATCAGCGAACAATGCAAAAAATAAAAGAGTTGCACTTGCAAATCTGGGTCAAGTTTTGTGCAAATAAATGTGACAAAGACTTAAAATAAATAAGAAACTTCAATAATTCGATGCAGCAATGTGAAAGTCATTGGCCACTTTAAAAAAAAGATAGATATACATAAATATATATATATATGTATACATGTAAATATATATAAACGCAGCCGAAATAATTAGCAGCTGTTAAACCATTGTGGCATTATGATCTGATATATACAGTTATATGTACGTGCATGTTACGCAAATATCAACTGGCGCGACAACTCTCGAACAATGCGAATGCGCAGCCAAAAAGGAGGCATGCTGAAAACAAAAACTGGCAGAAACGAGTTTCATTCGTTAGCTTTTCAGATTTTCGTTTCATATGCAACAAAGTGGCCGACGAGGGGATGGCAGCGGGAAACGGGGTATCCTTGTGGGCTCGTCTATGGCGCACCCACTTTTTTTGTGGGTTGAGTAATGACGTCGCTGTGTGGCGCCTAACGGTTATTATGCTCAGCCAAGGGGACAGACAGCAGCTGTTTGCGTCGTTTGGCAACACTATTCGTGTGTGTGTCTGTATGTGTGAGTTTATTTCAATGTTTGCATGTTGACTAATGCATATGCTGGCCAGCTTGGCCTTGAGCCTGACGTGTGGACGTCTGTGTGAGTGAGCATGTGTGTGTGTGTGTGCAGCGAACTTGCACTTGCATTGACATTGAAAGAGCTGACATAGATGCGTTAATACACATACGCAAAAAACCGCGCTATAGCAACTTTACCTATGTGTGTGGGTATGCATATTTATAGCAGTTGTTTGTATTTGATTGCGTAATCAGGTCGAAAGTTATAAAATTTCGCTAATTGAATGACTTACATTAAGAAATGTGTGTGCTATTGAATGAACTGGTTAATTTCCCTTCAACATGTTCGCACATGTTTAATTGAATATTTAGAGGGTATTGTTAACAGTGTGATGTTAACAGTTTGCACTTATGCATGTTACTTTTTTTTGTGTTCTTAAATTGGAATATTTTAATTTTAACTTTAACTTCAGTGATATATGGGTCAGTGGAAATGCAAATATAATCACTGGCATTTGCAGCGCAGTCCGCAATACTGGGATAAGACTGTAATATTGATTCATATATACTAACGTACTTATGGACTACGGATAGATTGCGCCAGAAGCCAAGGCCTTTACACCAAAATTGCGCTGTAATGGGCCAGACACAAAGAAATAGCGTACACTCAATTGGTGTTAGCTACGGACTAGGCGATCGATCGACCGACCGTTGTTATTCCTCTATAAGCGTTTGGTAAACGGCATTTGGTGAACGCCCAGCTTGGAATTCCAGTTCACTTCAATGTGAGTCGTAGTTAATATATTGTTAAATAATATAACAAAAAGAAAACAAAAAGCGAACCAGCTGGAGGGCGAATTAAGCAAACGTTTGCATAAAAGTGAGAGTCAGATATTTATACAATACTCTGCAAACCGATTAAATGTGTTTGGGTAAATATCAAACAAAATTGTGAAGATACAAAATGTTAAACTCTCATAACGGTGTCTGTAAACCGGTTCACTGAACTGTGTACTTGAACAGAATATATCAAAATACATATGTATAATGAGAAAATAAAATTACTGCTGAGAGGTTTCGTTTCGAATCACAATCAAAAAGAGAAGTGAAACAAGTAAGAAGGCTCCAGTCGAGACTGCTCGACTAGGAGATACCCTGAACCCTCCTCCAAGCTGATACTCTAATCATTCTGGACTTTTTTTATGCACACATACATACACATGCACTTATAAGCACGCGCTCTGCTAACTGCGCAGTAAGCAGCGACAGCGCTTAGGCTGCGCTGCAATGTGGGCAATATTATGAGAATTTATTTCTTGAATAATTTCTTTTGTAGACACACGATCTTAATGAAACTTTTAGAGCGTAATCATATGATAAAAGTGTGTGTACATTCTAAAGCACAAGTCTCTAGTACTTGAAATGCGTTTTTTACAAATTGGGGGCGAAGGGGGCGTGGTATCCAAAATCTGTAAATTACAAAATCTTTGTATCCGTTAACTCTATATACAACGCAAATTTGAAGTCTCCAGGTTTAAAAGTGTTCAAATTAGGCTGAAAAAACCAAGTCGATTTTTCGATTATTCTCGATAAAAAAGTTATCGGATGAGTTATCGAAAAAATAAAGCAAACTCGTACTGCCTATGGTATACACGAGTATGCATGCCAAATTTCAGCTCTCTAGCTCTTATATCTTCTAAGATCCTTTTGCTCATACGGACGGACGGACGGACGGACGGACGGAGGGACGGACGGACGGACAGACGGACAGGGCTATATCGACTCAGCTCGTCGTCCTGATCAAGAATATATATACTTTATGGGGTCTGCGATGATTCCTTCTGCCTGTTACATACTTTTCACAAAACCATTATACCCTGATTTCCCATTTTCAATGGGTTCAGGGTATAAAAATGGGCTTAGCATACAAAACAAAAACCAGAAATTCAACCAAATAAAAGACGAGTTCAATACCAATTGATAATGAGTTGACATAGCAATACTCTTATTTTGGATCATTTATGAATATGTATTGTGTGATTTTTACTTAACAGCTGTAAATATTATAGTTAACAGATAATGTACCAACTTATCATTGGGAACTCGGTTCTGAATTACATTTTTTAGTTAACACACATACGTAAGCTGTAAAGTCAGATAGTACCATGTTTACGTTTCCGCAAGGTAAAGGTAATTTTTAGAGTATACAATATTCTATATAGGAAGAATGACAAACAAAATCTGACTATCCTGTGCATAGATATCTGGAAATATTAATTCACAACCTGTCTACACAACACAGTTTAGATCAGTTGTTTTCATGACTAGATATAAACAACGAGTGACCTTCATCTTAACAGGGTTAACAGAACCCGGACAAAAGTCTGAGTAAACCGCTATACAAATTATATCGTGAATGGACTCATTAATGATGCTACATATAGATTTACATGCTTATATCCTAAAAGAAAACCTAGAACACAGGCATTTAATTTTTGTAATTACAGTAATGACAGAGAGGCCTATGCATACACACACACACACACACACACACACACACACAATTGCTCAATTTGTGTGGGCGTTTTCTTGTTATCAGGCTACAAAAGTCTATCAAAGGCCCTTCCCCTCTGACAAAGGGAGTTGATTCTTAATTGAAAGTTGACTTTTGATCTCGACAATTGAATGGGAAAGAGTCTTGCATTAACTCAATTGATTTATGCTTTATATATAGATAAACAAGCATATAGCCGTTATATAGCGTTATCAGCTTTAGCATATTATCGTATTGTAACAACTAGAAGCTGTTTAAGCAAACATAGAGCCTTACGAGCTGATTAGAAATATGATATATTATATTATAAAACAATAACAGAAGTAGGGCGCTCCGTTACTTTCTACATATTTATATATATAAATATATATATTTCTCTTTATATATGTATACATATAAATCAACGTAATTTACTCAAATGGTAATTGAATGAAGCACTTTCTTTATACAAAGTAGCTAATGTACATATATGCATGTGATTGTGTTTGTGTGTGTATGTATATGTGCTTTCGCGCTTGTTGGTGGGTGGCTAGAACAACTGAGAAACGACCACGTATGCCAAGGCTACGACGTCGTCTATTGGCAAGGACAAGGACGAAAATAGCCCTGTATTCTATGGCACGGGGAATGTCAACAACGCCCACGCATACACACAAACACACAAGTATACAAAAGCCCGGACGCGCACTCAGAACTCACCTCGATATTACACATTGTTTGAAATGCAGTGAAAACAAACATAAAGCCAAAGCCAAGTATTAATATCATCACGAATTTCATCTCCATTTTGTCGTATTATTGATATTAGTTCCTTGTAAACTATTGAAGATTTATCTATTTGTTGATATTGTACATATCAGACCAGCATTTGACGTCACAAGCAATACGTTAGACTCGGGGGAAGCAGAAACGTAGGTGTTAATAGAAACTACGACTTTTAATTAATGTTTAGCGCGGGTAAATGATAAAATCACTTTTTACTTATGCATATTATTTAACAAGTGCTTAAAATAATAAAATGCAATGCAAAGAAAGCTTCACAGAAAATTGAAACCGAAATCCCAAAAATGTTTGACGCGCTGGGTTAATGTGCGTATGTGATGAGGTTTGAGAGTGGATTGAAACAAGCAAGAGAAAATGTCAAGTGTAAATATACACAATGTTAATTAGAATGCAGTCATGTTAATATTTCAACTCAATGTGGCACTGTTAGCACCATAAGAGAGTCAGCTGTTACAGGCTAACCGGTTATCATACAACCGCCACAATATAGTATTTTCTGCTATCGATTTCATAACAATCGAAAAATGCCGGAATGATTTAAAGTCCAAAAGTTTCTTATATTTATTTTGTCAATTGGTTTACCGGCTACCATTAACTGAAAGCAGATGAGTTTTAAATCGACTCGTTATCATTAGTATATTGGGAACCACGGTCAGACGCAGCAAACCCAAACTTCATATTGTTGGATTTAGGATGGATTTGATCCAATTTTTTCTAGTTTTACCATCTGCAGAAAATTATTCTCTTTAAGAATTTTACATAGATCAACCAAGCCCGCTATGCCCGTACGGCAACCAAGGCATATTAACGAATCCCCGCGTGTATACTCCCTCTTCAAACGTTTGATGGGAGCACGGTCTCGGCCTGCCTTTGATTTCGATCCCAGAATTCGTTTTGCCTTTGATTTCGATACTCGCTTGATGCTCTTCGCGGATGTTTTCCTTGCCGACGAAGAGCGTTTGCTGCTTGCTCTGGAATCTAAATCGCATGTAGGTATTCCTGTATATTCCATGCTGGCGCGCTTGATGGTTTGCCGAATGGCATAGCCCGATGATCCCGTGCGGGCCAGAACGCCCAGATCAGTCAGATTGGACAGCGATTGGTGGATTATCTCGTCCACATTGACCAATTGCTTGCTACGTCGCAAAGTATATTTCACATACTGATTAATCAGATCAGCGGAGACAAAGCCGGCCAGCGAATCCTGCAATTCGGAGACGGCCTTGTAAACATGCCGATTGACTTTCCTTGGCACATTAAAATTATCCATGTTAAATCAATAAAACAATAATTTTGCAAAGAAAAAAAGATTTGAAATGCTCTTATATAAAATTATAAAAATTTAAATATACGTGTGTAATTATAAATAAATTATCGTGCTCTTTGCCCAGATTGTGATTTGTTTTGTGCAAGTTCCCGAAGTGTTCTGAAATAGTTCAGGTCGAGTAGAATGCTCGAGCTGAGAGTAAAAGGCAAAGGCTACTTGGGTTTAAAAGCTAAAACGAAGAGATTTTCGATTTTATTTATAACAATTTTTTGCGAAAAATTCATTTAAGTGTTCAAGAGGTTTGTGTATATGTGTGTGTAACATAGATCGTTTATTATATATATAGTAGACATATAATATATATATATATATATTTAGTATATATTTTACGATTTATTGGATTCGGGTTAGTTCAATTTTTTTTGGTTTACCATAAACACTAAAATCTTTTTCTTTTTGCAGGTATTTATCGTTATAAATCATTTTTTCATTTCATTCAAGTGAATCTTTTACTTGTTACAAACGGGAGAGGCTCCACACATATATCCAATCGAACCATAAATAAAATTTCTTTGTGGTCGTTCATAACATAGGTATTAGTGTATATCGTAGTATGTATGGTATGTGTATGTATGTATAAGTATAAAGTTAAATTTATGACCGCTGTCCGAGTGCAGCTCCGAACGGGGTACTCAGTACTCCTGGTCGGCGTCCGGAAGGGGCGATATCTAGGCATTTCCAAAAGAAGCAAATGTGGAGCGATTAAAAAAACGATTTCCAGAGCTGGTTTAACACAGACGGTACACAGTTATTGATAAACAACAAATATTTATCATCAACATCATTTCTTAAAATTATTTAAAAGGGGTTCAGCTTGTTTTTTTTTTTGCTGTTTTTTTTTTTTTTTTTTAGCTTTGCTCTGATTTGCTTTGTTTCGGCTTTGATTAGCTGCTGTTGCTGCTTTGGATATTATTTAGTCAGCATTTGTTTTTGTTTTAAACGGAAATATTCAATATTCATATTTTGTAAATCTATTTCTGCGTTTGTTTTGTTTCAATTAATTTCATTCTGGCGACCGTGCGAGATATCCACAATCAATCCACAATTTATTCGCTCTTTTTGTGTGTGATCACGGCATCGTCGATCTCCTCCTTGGGTTGATCCTTATCGCCCCAGCCCCAGGTGGCGTGGGTGCCATCGCCGGTACGCTTCACACGCTTCTTGATAATGTCGGGGGACACGCTCTTTAGGTCGTAGGCCCAGCCAATCTTGGCGAAGAAATCAATGAAAGCCGTGGTCAGATTTAGCGAGTATTTGCCAAACTCGGCGGTCTTGTAGTCCCAGGGGAACACATGATGATAGTTGTGCCAGCCCTCACCGAAAGCGAGCATCGCGACCGAGATGTTCTCTGAAGGGTTGATGAACCTAATGGGAAGATAGAGAGAGAGAGAGAGAGAGTTGTTAAAGAAGAGTTTTAGTGATTTCGTGGCTATGGCACTCACCTGTCGTAGGGTCGGCCACCGAATTTATGCGCAGCACTGTTTACCAGCCAGGTCACATTCAGGATGAAGCACCAGCGGAACATGGTGGCCACGAACCAGGCGTTCACAAAGCTCTCGCCCCAGAAGTACATGGGTGCCACAGTGGGCAGGATGAAGCAAGCCAGCGGCATCAGGATAAAGTAGTGCCTGAGAAGAAGAAACAAAAGAGTTTAGTTAATTGCAAAAGAGCCTAGCTTGACTGGGCACTCACTTCTTCTGGAACATCAGGACAGGGTCGGCACGCAGATCGGATAGGTCGACACCCTTGCCCTTGGCCTTCACCTCGGGATGCTTCTTGCACAGCAACCAGCCAATATGCGAAAAGAAGAAGCCGCGCGTGGCATTGTGGGGATCGGCATCGGTTTCCGAGTACTTGTGGTGCACACGATGATCGCGGGCCCAGTGGTAGGCGGCATCCTGGAAGGCAACTGTATTGAAGATCACCAACAGCACGCGCAGCGGCCACTTAGCCTTGTAGGAGCGATGGGCCCACAGACGATGAGCGCCAGCCGTAATGCCCAAGCCAGAGACAACATAAAGAGCGAAAGCTATAAGAACAAGATTATATATATTAATATATAATGCCAGCTATATATATTATTATTACAACTATGAATTTAACATTGTGTCATATCATTAAAATTTTATAATCGCTCGATTAATCATCTTCATCTTCAGCTTTGTTTCGCATATACTCGATGTTCCGTATGGCATATGCCTTGCTATCGGCGCTAACCGAGAGGACGCCCAGCATTGTCAGGTTGTGCAGCGAGGACTCGACTTGAAAGTCCAGCCGATGCACTGGATTGCCATTACGCATCGAATATCTCACGTGCTCCTGTATATCGGCGAATGGCGCATAGTCCAAATCCTCAATATCCGTAATATACCTAATGGCCTTCAGCACATGACGATTGACCTTGCGAGGCACCCGAAAATTATCCATCATATGTTTCTCTCTTTATATATATATACAAATGTTTTGTTTATGTTCTGTAGATTTATGTGACAAATATAATTGTCGACAAATATTGCTACGTTCTGATTGGGCATTGTTTGGGCATGCTAACTGCAAATTATTTAAATATTCATATTGAATATTGAATATTTATATCTATCTGTCATTCTCTACAGACAATAGCAAATGGATTTCAATTATAATTCATTTACATCTGCGGTAATCAGTTATAGAACTATATAATATATTCATAGTTGTATATTGAATAATAGAGAAATGTTCCATCTATCAATTGTTGATTATGATTTGAATTGCGCACTAAGCTTCGCCTGAATTGGGCACTATAATAATTCGTGTCTGATCTATTGGACTATATGATATGACTTTGGCCCAATGTTATCAGTGCCAAATTTGAAACAAACAACGCTGATAACCTTGCAATTGAAAGGCGAGGCACGCGACGCTAAGATGGCAAACAATGAATGTACATTAAAAATTCTACTGATTGCCATGTGGTCTGTTTGTCTGTCTGACTGTTGTCAACTTACCCAGAACGATTGTCTGCCATTTGGCCGAGGTAAAGATTAGCCATGCGCCGTAGACGGCAGCCAAGTGCAAATATCCGAATGCAATTATGTTGCGCCAGACGAGCTTCAGTTTGCGCCTGTCGGCCTTCTTCATGGACACAATGTCCTTGACGAGGCCGCCATCGATAGTCTCGGCATCGCACTCGAAGAGTACGCCAGTCGAGTCCTGCTGCAGTTTCGTAGGATTCTGCTCTGATTCGGCGGCAGCTGTCGCCGCGGCAGAGAGCAGCGAGTCAGTAATCGACTGGCCTCCAGCGGTTGCGTTGGGCGGCATAGTGTGTTAGTGTTGGTACCAGCTGTAGTGAAAGAGACAGAGAATAAAAAGACATTAAATTTTAAATTAATGCATTGCGCAATTAGTTAAACAAATTGACTAAGCTGAACTTGACACGCTTCACCCATAGGTGACTAATTTTGGGTGTCGTTATAACTCTTTAATTATTACCCGTTTTATTTTCATTGTCGCTGCACGCTAGTTAGCGTTATTAGTTGTTGTTGCTGCAGTTCACAACAAAAATCAATACTTTCAAGGCTGGTGCCCTTGCTGAAGGATAACGTGCAGTACAGTGAAAGCACACTTGAATAAATATTCACTCTTTCTCTCTCATACATATTATCATTAAATTCTGCCAGATTTGTTGCTTTTTCAGCTTGGGCTTCTTCCATGACCAATCAAATAGGGAAATTAATAAGAATATTGAGACTAAAATAAATGCCGCCGGCTAAACGGCATGTCTGTAGCTTTTACTGCTGATAATTAAAATGCCGGCACGACAACAAGAAATCATTGTGTGTGTATATGTGTGAGCACATACACACATGTGGGTCACTGGGCGTCTTATGTGAAGGCCAAGCTTGCAAGATTGTGTACATACTTGCTTTGTGTGGGTCATAGAAAATTTCCCAGCTTGAAATTTGCTATACAAAAACACTAACACATTAGCAACAACAATTAAGAATGAAAGATGTATGCATCTTTGTATGTATAAATAACTATTGAGACAACTTAGCAAACGCAAAGCAACATCAATTAGTAAATTCCCTATTTGTTTATTCTGTGTATTTCTATATGTATGTGTGAGCATTTATACTATAGGTTTACCTTTGAGGACGTCTAACAAGTTTTTTTGACAAGCTGCCAATTGGAGACTCAATTTTCAACTGTTGAACAGAAAATTTGCGCAAAAGCAAACAAGCGTGCAGTGTATGTAGTATGCTAAAGCTTTCTGCTTATACAAAAGCTTTGGCAATAACAACACATTACTTTTCTATGCCGGCAAAGCTTTTGCAGGTGTCCATAAACAGATTAGAAGAAATATTAATAAGTAAACGCAGACATCGAATGATGTTTAATAATTCAGGGTCAGGGTTTTATATTCTGCTGGCATTTAATCACGTTGCTTTATTGCTTCGAGGGTAAAATAGCTATTAACTATTAAATCCAAAATCTGATGAAAGACCATATGTTGTTTGTATACAGAAAACATACAAATATAGCAAAACACGTCAGCTTAGGCAGTTGTATTCTCTTTTCCGTGTAAATTACGTTACCACATTGCACTGCATTATTAACATTGAAATATGAGCCACGTGTGTAAGTATGCTTAAAGTCATACGATGCCTACGACAGCCTCTAACAGCCGTGCACGACAGAGACAGCATAATGGGAAGAGCAAGCAATTCAGTTGGGTTTGTTTGTACAGTACTATTGAACATGCTCGTGTGTGTGTACACACTTTCAATTCAAAAGAATATTTAGAAAATGACTAAAAAAGTAGATCGCCAACAAAAGCTTTGCCACTATGGCGCACTCTCTGACTCTTTCCTCGTCGCGTGAACCCATCAGCTGTTTACATGTGTTGCTGGTGGTGAAACATAAAGTGTATCAAAACCGGCAACCCGCTGCCAACGTCCGCGTGTTAAATGTTGTTGCTTTTTTTTTTAGCTTTTTGTAAATTTGTGATTATGACGGAACAAGCATTAGATAAAGCCTACCCCGCATTGATATTGAACTTGAATTTTATGTGCACGTAGCCCCATTGGCGTCAACGCGCACAGATGACAGTGCGAGAGTAGACATAGAGAGAGAGAATGACAGTGGGAGAGTGAGAAAGCGCGCAAAATGAGCGAATGAGAGCTTGATTCACCGACCGGCATCACGATGCAAAAGCGTGTTCCGCTCCGCTCAACGCATAAAATCAGGTTGTCTCGGTCATTCTCTATTGATGCGTCTAATCTACTAAATTGCGTTTTTAAATTTGCGAAAACTAAGGCTTTCCTGTAGAATTTTACCATTATTGGATTTATGATAGATTGTTTTCTACGTACTATGCACAATGTAAATAGCAACAACAACTTTTGTCAATTAAGCGATTAAAAAGTTCAACGTACGAAAAATTATACAACACAAATAGGAGAGCTACGTTTTAATTCAGTTCTAGTTGGAGTCAGGTAAATTTATTTCATTGGCGTTACAGCACCTAAGTACACATTCGTCCATATGTATATCGATATAAATATATGGATATATTCCGAATACGAAGAGCACATATTTATTATTCATTTATGCTTTAATGAATCTTTTAGTCGAAAGGTTCAGCCTAAGTATGCTAAATACATGGTCGAGCAGCCTAATGCCGCGGGCTCACTATACAAGATTTGTATAAAGTATCAGCGCCTAGGTCTCTAACCTTCAGTAAATAGACGCGTTGACCGTTAAAGTACAGCCTTCAGAAGTTAAGAGTTGGAAAAAAATACAAATTTTATGATTTGCATGCTTGATCAACAGATCGCTTAATAGCAATAAAAAGCTCTTAAAGATTTTAGTTTCTTTAAAAGTTTTTTTTTCTTCTTTTTTTTTTTGGTAGTGTATTTCGTATGTATACTCTTGGCTTGTCTCTTGGGTCATTTGGCTACAGTCGAACGTTTGCGTATTAGTTAATGGTTTACGTAAACACTTGCAAATCCTGTCGCAACAGACAAACGTCAACATAAGCGTATGTACATATGTACTAACCTGTTTTGCTGACGAAGTAAATTAAGTTTGCTTTTCGCGGTTTTTCTTTTGATGAATTTACAAAATAAAAACTTTAGTTTATCACCTTATTTTTGCACAGAGTATTTGTATGAGTAAGTAGTAACAAAGCGGGCAACGTTGAGACACGTCCGCACGCTCTGATGTCTCAGCACACACTGAGAGCCAGCTGAGCAGAGCGGTGAAATTTAAACCATTTTTTTCGCTCTCAAAACTTTGACGTTGGCAGAGACGCAAAACTTTTACTGCCCCCTTCTTAGCATTTGTTGTTGATATGCCCAGTGCTTGGGCACTTCTAACTGTCAAACATATATACATACATTTCAACATATATATGCATGTACATACATATAGGCACACGCGTTCATCAGCACAGATTAGCTCGGGAGATTACGATCAACTGAATTTGCACGTATGCACTTCTCATAGAGCTTTGCAAATGTCGCAAAATTTGATCAATTGAAAGTACGTTAATGAATGAAAATGACTCTGGAACGTAATTTAAGCCCTTCACAAACAACTTACGGGGATTGTCAATAGATCAATTACAATTAAAGTTACCGCTGCATTGCAAATTAAATAATTACCTAAAGTACACAACACGAGAATCTTATAGTAAATAGTGCACTCTGCCCTCAGTATGAAAAAATGTGCATGGATATCGAACAAGGAAACGAGATTACCAAATGCTAAACTTTGATAGAAGTTCAAAAATGAAAAGCCATTTATAACTTATTTAAGTGGCTAAACGTGATAATGAATTTTAGAAATGTGTATGTTTTAGTAATCTACTTGTGAAAGTAACACGCCTTATAGATGGGATTTGTTACACAACTCATGCCCAAATAGTATATACGAAATTTGATACACAAATTTTGTTAAACTATTAAGAATGTCAGAATTGAATCTTTTAATATTTTAGTAATAACAAAAAATATGCAATCTATTTCAGGTTTTTGATATGCTGCTTTAGCTTAAGACAGGTATTTAATCGAATTGTCGTTCTTTGGCAATGAAAACAGCTAGTCTGATTTTGATTATCTATTGTTATACAAATAGATTGACTTCTACATGCAGAGCGAAACAAAGTATAAAGACTCAAATTATGTAGTAGTGCGGCTGACCAGTAAATATTAGATAACGAAATTTAGTGATAAGCCCAATATATTTTTAAAAGCGTTGTATATACAGAACAATACATATTATATTAACTTAAAACATGTGCGCATGGGAGCTTGATAAAAATAATTTTAAAAATCGTACTGTTCATGAAAATAGTAAAATGTAAATCAAATCTAATTAATATCAGTCTAACTTCATAAGTCCTGAATTACATATCTAATGTTGTGTATCCACTAATTTGGAGCTATAACGAGCACACTGTATGTTGTGTCATTACTTCATCTACATCTCTCTAAAATCGTCAAAGTCAAATAAATTCTGACCTTAAGTAACGGAATCTTTTCGCTCTCTCTTTTTGGACTCTATCGTAAACAAACTATGAAAATCATTTTATTGTTTCATTTGGTTTGTTTAAATACATATTGTCTCATTGTTTAAACAATCAAAGTACAAATAACTGCTCGAAGAATGTAAGCGATACGCCCAGCTGTTGTTGGATCGTAAACGATAGAAACAGCTGTTGCTTGATCGTAAACGGCATTCACGACAGCTGTTAACGCAACAGCATATGCATATCCAAGCCTACATGCATGCAGTTCTTTCAGTTTAACATGCAAGTGCGCATGGAAAAATTCGAAATGAACTTTAAAGTCAATTAGATTATAATCGGATTCAAATCGATTAGGCGTCCGTTTAGCACGTTACAAGATTCACGTAAATTGATTAACCCTACAAAACTACCAGTCTATACTATAATAAATAAGGTAAGTTATATGAAAAAGCCTGGGCGCAACGCTACTATTTAAATTCGTTTTTTGTATGGAAATAAAATCTCGACTGTTCACGAAAATAGCAGTGCGCTTGAGCTTTGACTTCAAAGTTGATAAATCATATCAAAAAGACCAGAATTGCGCTAGTCTTTTATAAATTTAGAATTCATAATTATATATATTAAAATTAATACCATTTAATAGCCATTTTCAGAAATGAGCAAGGTTCATAAAAATAGCAGTGATTACAAAGTATAAAAATTTATTCAGGCAATAACGGCTTGGCACCTGCGCGGCATTGAATCCACCAAGTCCTGGCAACGCTTAACTGGGATCTGTCGCCATGCTTCTTGGACAACTTCCCAAAGTTGAGCTTTGATGGACGGGTTTCCTTTTGCGACAGTTTGCTTAAGGTATCCCCATAGAATTTCTTCTTATGGATTGGGCCAACTTCGTTATATGAGAAACATGCCTAAATCATGATTTTACAGCCACTAATGGGGAGATTAGCATCTACAGCACTGCTAATTTTGCGAGCACAGCTGTATTTGTATATTCACCTACGCAAACACATCATACCCATTTCAACAATTTTCAATAGGGTAGAAGATGTGAACGTGTAATAGTTCAAAGGAAAACGCGTGATTTCAAACAATTTCCGAGTGGAAATGAAATCCTTATCAACATAGAATTCACCTTGCGTCATTGCATGCAACGTGATGTCACTCGGAGACCGTGTGCTGCGCAACAAAATATTGTTTAAGTACACAATTCTAATCTGTTAAGAAAAAATTCTCGTTTTTTTTTTTTTTCCTTGCAACGTGCGAAATGCGCATTTGGCTGTGTTGATATACTTATGTATATATATTTTGACAATATATGGATTGTTTTTAGTTGTCAGCAAGGTCAACCCAAATTTATGTATATAGTTTTGCAACTTACTTGTACAATTAATAACCAATTTAGTTGTTTAAATCCAAAATTATACTGATGTGTGCAAAAAAGTTTCTAGGGAGGAGAAGTTCTTGGCTTCTCGAAAAATAAATATCGAGCAGACATTATATCGATATTAGGTAAAAGTTGGATACAAAAATCGTTGTCAAATATCATTTTTTTAATTTTATATATGATATTTTTATTGTTTTATTTTTAGCATTTGTGATAATTATACATTGTGCAATTTTAAATTTAATACATTTGTTACTTTTTTGCCGAAATACAAATAGGCATAGAGTAAACTGTCAAGAAAATTAATTTACTGGCATTGTTATCTACAGGATATTCCATAATATTAATCGATAGCCAGCACTTGGTCCATCGCAATCTGCATTTAATCTGGAGACCAACAACATGTCAAAACAAATCGTTGAAGAAAAAAATACAGCAAATGATCTAAATCAAGCCCTAAAAGGGGCAGTCAAGGAGCGGGATGAGGGTGATATTCAGGTATATAGTCGCGCTATATATGTAAATCCGAATGACAAATAATATCTTTGAAGGAACACACTGTAGACACGGCTTTAGTAGATCTCTCAAATGAGAGCAAAAATAGCGCAAGGACGTCAAACAACGAGTTCAATGAAGAAACAAACGTGGGTAAAAATGCTGCGCCAGACCACATAGACTTTAATCAAATGGACAATGATGAGCACAAGCCAATTGGCTGCTTCTTTAACGCTAATCCAACTCTACGCATTGCAGTGCACGGCATGTCGGAGCTGGTCAACTCCCGGCTCTCGGCCGAAGCACTGGATATTTGTGTAGAGTTGTTAGAGGCAGGAGTGCCGCCAAGGGCGCTCTCTGAGGTTGTCCTACATATTCTAGACGTCAAGGTGAAGAATTACGAAAGGGAACACGGTCCCATATTACCATAGGGCATCCAGAGATCAGCATTAATCCCAAAAACATGTTTCAAGATAACGCTTATCAACACCTGAGTGACACCTGCAAGCTACAGTCGTCTAGACGCAAGCAAATCGACAGATTAACGCAGCAACAAAACCAATCAATTGCGATACCATTGTTAATTATATTGTATATATTTTTGCTACTCTAGAAAATACAACCCGCTAAGCATAACTTTAACTATATTGTACTAAAATTAAAGTATTTTTATCAACTAAGTTCTTAATGCGTTTTCGTGTCCACAAAGAGAACGCGCTGTTCGTCCTCTGCGGTCATATCCTTATCGCCCCAACCCCATAGCTCATGGGATCCATCACCAGTGCGGCGTACTCGTCGCTCCACTGTCTCCGGGGCCACTGACTTCAGGTCGTAGGCCCATCCAATTTTCGCGAATAGATCTATGAACGCTGTGGTCATGTTCAGCGAGTAGTTGCCCCATTCGGCGGTCTTGTAGTCCCAGGGAAAGACATGATGATAGTTGTGCCAGCCCTCGCCAAAGGTAAAGGCCGAGACATACGGACTCTGCGACGGATTAATGTTCCTATACGAAGATCATATTTTTATTATAAATATATATTGTGATTATTATAAGAAGCTATACGTACTTGTCGTAAGGACGTCCACCGAATTTGTGAGCCGCACTATTGACCAGCCAGGTCATGTTCAGCTGGAAGCACCAGCGGAACATCGTGGACACGAACCAAGAGCACAAGAGCGACTCGTTCCAGCACATCATGGGTATGACCGTTGGCAATATGAAGCAGGCCAGCGGCATGAGAACAAAGTAGTGCCTGTCAAGTGGAGAGATCAGAGATTATAATAGGTAGTCGCCTCTCTATATAGAGCTCAGCTCTAGTTACTCACTTGAGCTGGAACATGAGTATGCGATCGGCGCGCAGATCGGTCAGATCCAAGCTCTTGCCCTTGGCTACCACATCGGGATGCTTCTTGCACAGCAGCCAGCCGACGTGCGAGAAGAAGAAGCCACGTGTGGCATTGTGTGGATCGGCATCCGTCTCGGAGAACTTGTGATGCACGCGATGATCGCGCGCCCAATGGAAGGCGGCATCCTGGAAGGCGATCGTATTGAAGGTGATCAGGATCAGGCGTAGCGGCCACTTAGCTTTGTAGGCACGATGCGCCCAGAGACGATGAGCGCCGCCCGTGATGCCCAACATGCCCGCAACGTACAGGAAAATGGCTGAAGAGAGAAAAGTTGATGAAATCAAGGACGGATGGAGGAGCATCTCTATGCAGCTTACAGAACACAATTGTTTGCCATTTGGCTTGGGTCAAAAGCAAATAGCCGCCGTAGAGCGCAGCCATGTGCAAGTAGACAAAGAGTATTATGTTGCGCCAAACCCATTTCAATTTGCGTTTCTCGGCCTTCTTCAGCTCTATAACATTCACGTCCAAGGCGCCATCGTTGGTCTCCGCATCGTCTTCGAAGAGCACGCCCGTCTGCTTAGAGGCTCCAGCCTTGGAATTGCTCAGCACTGGCCCCGCCTCCGAGTTAACTGCCATGTCGTTCGCCGGGCTACTCACAGCATTTGGTGGCATTCTTTCAGGTAAAGCTGGAGAGAATAAAAAAGATATATATTAGAAATATTTGAACTCAAATTCGAATAGTCTTTTTGTTCTCATCAGAGATGTAAGCTGGAGTTTGTAAATTTGCCTTCATGCGTAAATTAAACTATTCTTATAGTTCCTTATGTCAAGAGAATATTTCTATAGTTAAACCATATTGTAGTTGATCTCAGTAATTATGCAAGTCTAGACAAGGTAATTTAGTGATTATTTTAAAGATCGTTAACTCTAATAAATGAGTTATAACAGTTTGTAGATCTTTGAAATTTGGTATGCGGTATATATCACCTAATCTATAATGAGTTCAGAAAAACTATTATATGGCAGAAGTATTTGACTCGTCAACAAATTTATTATCTTGGAAATGTTTATTTGCCTGGGTTAGCTTACCTATTTGCTGAGTTCAGAAATACTATTATATGGTATAAGTATTTGAATTGCAGAACAAATTTCACAATTATATTATATGTTCTAAAATGTTAATTATCGCCAATTTTTATGCAAGTTAAACCGAGCAAATTATAGTTATTATTATTATTATTTTTTTTTTTTTAATAAAATCTAAAAGTCAGCATTTTTCGCATGTAACAAATTTCTCTTACAATTCTGAGAGGAGCACATATTGAATATTTAATGCTTCATAATAAAGTGCATATTGTTTTTTACATACTCGCATCTAGTATATGTAATTAACATTCAATTTGAATCTATCAATATTCTAAGTCACTTTGCAGCTGAAATACTCACCAAATGCTTTAGGTACTTCTGTTTAATTGAGGAACTGTTGAAAGCGGGAAAGCCGTATCGACCTGCGCCGGGAAGAGTTGATTTCTCACTGTGTGCACGATCGGACAGGTTAAACGAATGGGATCGTCTTTCTTATTTGGCGTTCTTCTTTACCACGATATTCGCTTAGGTTTACCTTTGCAAATTATCTGAATTGGTTTGAAAGGGGAACATCGACTGCTTCCCGTATTTATACTGAATGCAAAAATCGTAAGATGCCCTTCATAAAGAAATTCTGATTAGAAATTAATCTCTCTAACGAGCGCAACTAATGAGACTTAATGGAATTAATGCAATCTTTGCGATTTCATCTACTCCCATTGAACTGTGGTCAAACACTCTCGTTGGCAACTAAGTCGCGTGTTGGCCAAAGTACACGATTTGCTACGTCTGGACGCCACATGTGAATCATATATGATTTCATTGAAATTAGGGACAGCCGGGCTATCGCTTAATTAAAATCGTTTCCAACTGATGTTCAAAGCGCCATCTACATGTGAGGGCTGTTGATAAAGCTTTCCAGAATTAACTTTAATGCCCGGCATTGGCCGTTAACAAAATTCTGTCAAACTAAAATTACAGTTGATCTTAGTTTTATGGATTTTATTATCTAAATAGAGTATCAACCCAAGATAAGTTCTTGCATCTTATAAACAGTTTAACATAAACCAATTAATTGTTCTTTTATGTTGGTGTATTTAAATAAGTTAACAAATTCAAAGTTATTCAGTTCTGAACTGCGTGTAAGAATGAAGTTATGTACATATTTTAGCGTGTCTCACATATATACTGAGTCTTCTCTATTTATCTTTGGGCTTTTCAGTTGAATCAGGTTCACTATCGTCACTGCTGTCCTTTTTCGATTTCTCAACAGGTTTTGGTTCGGCTGCTTTCTTAGATTTGCTTTTGGTCTTCTCCGCTTGCTTCTGTTTCTCAGCCTCAACAATGGCTGCCTCCTCCTGCTGTTTCTTGACCTCCTTCTGAGCAGCTGCCATGGCCACATCTTCGTCATCCCAATCAGCCATGGAACGATCACGCTTTAGCCACGAGTGTGTGGTGTCTGCCTTGAACGCTGATACGAAATGAAATAACATATTTAGTATATTATAGCTGGTTTCAGTCAACCGAGGATCCACTCACTGTTATTGAACCACTTGATGCCGTTCTGCATGTCCTCGATAATCTCGCGAGACGTATACATGACCTCGTTCTGCACAGCCTGGTGGAACGTTGATGTCTCAAACGAGGCCGAGTAGACGGAGTTGCGATCATGATTGAGTGCGCGCTGCGGAAATTTGGACAAGCACGCGGCCAGCTCCAGGGCATGGCCCAACGCTGTGCCGGTGGGCACAATGCGGTTAACTAGACCTATATCGTGTGCCTCCTGTGAGCCCACTGGTCGTCCAGTGAGTATCAAATCCAGCGCGCGTGACAGTCCAATCATGGCGGGCAAACGCACAGTGCCACCATCAAGCATGGGTACACCAAAGCGCCTATTGAAGAAGCCCAACACAGCGGACTCCTCCATGACGCGCAAATCGCACATCAGCGCCAGCTCCAGGCCATTGGCTATGCAGTAGCCATTGATGCCGCAAATGACCGGCTTTTTAATGTGGCGACGAGTGGGTCCCACAGATCCCTCAGGGCGCATCAGAATATCAACGCTTATCTCCTCCTTCTCGTCAGTGCTGATCTCAAGTATATCAAATCCCGAACAGAACGATCCACCCACACCATAGAGCACCGCCACCGGCGACGTATCGTCCGCCTCGAAGGCGGAGAAGGCCTCACAGAGCTTCGAGGCGGTTGTCGAGTCAATGGCATTGCGTTGCTGTGGACGATTTATACCGATTAAAGTTATATTTTTATCCTTCTCGATAATTATGCTTGGGGGCTGTTCCGGTTCCTTTTCGGCGTTAGTTGGGGTCTCTGAAAAATCATTAGTTTATTTAATTTACTTTGTAAACATTATGTCACGTTGGTTTCAACTACCTTTGTACAATGCTTTTGTCGAGCTAAACATGCGGCGAGGCGCCGAACGTAAATGTTGGCCAATATGCTGGCCCACTTGTATTCCAAATTTGCGAAGCATGTTTAAATTGTTAAGAACTTAAATAATTTAGTACAGATGTTCATTAAATTTTCTTAGCAATCAAAGAACTGCAAATTAAATTCTCAAAACAAATTTCTGAATATCGTATAGAGGGCTGCCACCTATGGTGAAACAAGACAGCTGTAAATTATACGATAGCTAATCGCGCAATCGATATATAGTGGTGAGAAGTCGATACAGTGAAAGATCATTTTAGTCGTTATGAGCCTTTTTAAAAAAAATACATACGACTGCCACATTTTACTTATTTATTTCTATTTCAATATATCTGTTTTTGATAGCTATTGCAATTATCGATAGCTTGAATTTGCAATTTTCCCCATCCCCGCGCTATTATGCGCGGTTTGATAAACGCAAAATTCACCATGATTCTGGTGAGAAATTCTCAATGAGAAAGCTTTCAAGGCTTGGAGCGCCCCGCAATGTACTCAGTTTGGAGCGGCGTCGAAAAGCGAGCGGTTGATTGTTAGCCAGCAACAGCAGCAGCTAAGGAGCGGTACCAATATAGAATATTAGAATTTTGTGTGTGCGTCGCATATCGTATATAAATCATGTATCACCTGAAGAGTTTGGCCCGACAGGGAGCCATGCGTCAGCATGAGCTGACCGCCTTGGCGAAGGCATTGCCCACTGCTGTGCTTCAGACGCGCAACTACCAAATTCCCGATCGTCTAAAGGACGTGCCAACTGCCAAGGATCCCCGTTTCTTTGACATGGTTGAGTACTTCTTCC